CGGAGGACAGACAGACTCCTTCTCAGCAACAAGACTAGGGGCGTAGTCTAGACGACAGGTAGCAGCAAAGTCAACAAGCTCAGCGACTAAGTCAGACGCAACAATAGACTCAAACGACGGGTCAGTGACAACTGTGGCTAGCAGACGCGTGACAGTAGGGTGAGCAGCACGAGCGCGGTCAGAGTCAGGCTCTGGAACATCAGGCAGAGAAGACGCAGGAGGAGACGGCAGAGGAACACGCTGCAGAGGAGAGGAAGGATGTCGGACTACGAGGTGGGTGCCGGGGACAACCGACTGACGCGAACGAGGAACACGACGAACGGAACTACCATAACGGACAGGCGAGATAGGACGCCACGCAAGCTCACGACACTTAGTAAGACCCCTTGTCTGCTCAGTATAAGGAGAAGGAGCAGGCAGCGGTGAGCCAGGCTGTCACGGAAGACCTGTAGCGAAGGGAGACTAAGAACCTGGCGAAGCACAGAGTCAGGCGGTGGCTGAGACGGTAGAGTGAAGAAGGGGGCGGCTGTGCAGTGCCACCAGCACCAGCAGCTCCAGAACCCCCAGCAGCTCCAGCACCTCCAGCAGCTCCATAACCCTCAGCGCCAGCTCCTCCAGGACCAGCTCCACCAGTAGCAGCACCCTCATAACCGGCACCTTCAGTCCCAGGGTCTCCAGCCTCAGTGTCTCCAGCAGTAGCACTCTCAGACCCAGGGTCTCCAGCAGTAGCACCCTCAGGCTCAGCACCTCCAGCCCCAGCAGCTCCAGTACCTCCAGTACGAGCACCTCCGGGACCAGCACCACCCCCAGCTCCAGTGACGTCAGCAGAAGTACCTCCAGTGGCAGAGCCCCGAGCTCCAGAAGCGCGACCCTGACGGCGACCGTACCAGTCGTGTAGCTGCTGTGAGGAAAGAGGCACACGTGGACGAAGGCGGCTACTCCAAGGAGACCGCGCAACAACAGACTCAGAACCCTCAGGCGTCGCACCTCCAGCGCCAGCACGCGCAGCAGCTCCAAAACCTCCAGCTCCAGCGTCACCAGAAGTAGCACCCCCAGAACCGGCACCCCCAGCTCCAGGGCCTCCAACCTCAGAGCCAGCAGTAGCACCTCGAGGTCCAGCAGGACCTCTAGGCCCAGCAGCTCTAGTAGAAACAACTCCAGTAGCAGAGTCACCAGCTCCAGCGCCTCCCGCAGCAGGGCCCCTAGCTCCAGCAGCGCGAATCTGACGGCCAACGTACCACTCACACAGCTGCTGTGGGGAGAGAGGGAGACGATGACGAGAGTGCAGCGGCGAGGCACCAGCAAAGCGACTACGGGGACGGCCGCTCCAGGGAGACTGCTCACCAGACGCCGCAGCGCCCCCAGGTGCAGCACCCCCAGACTCAGCACCCCCAGGCTCAGCACCCCCAGACTCCTCACGCCCAGGCTCAACACCTCCATGCTCCGCACCCCCAGGACCAGCACCCCCAGGCTCCGCACCCCCAGGCTCAGCACCCCCAGAAGCAGCACCCCGAGCAGGACCTGAATCACCAGTGACCTCAACCGGCGCAGTCAAGGGAGGAGGGTCTACCTAAGACACACCTGAAGGAGTAGGACCAAGAGTGGGGAGGGGGGCTACCTGGGGAGCACCTGGTGCGAGGAAGAGCGGCGGGGGGGGGGGGGGGGGGGGAGAGGGGCATTGCGGTAGGGGAAGAGACGGTAAAAGGGAACCGACTCGTCGAACGTGACGTCCTGAGAGGGGAAGACATGGCGCGAGGTGGGGTGGTAAAACTGCCAACCAGGCGGGTCAGGGACAAAGCCAAGGAAGAGATAGGGAACAGTGCGGGCGGAGAGCTTGTCCACGGTGGTATCACGGACAAAGGCACGAGAACCCCAGACCCGAATCACCGACGCATCGCCAACCTTCCCCGTCCACCTCAGTGTGGGCGAGGTCTCCGGTAAGGAGACACGGGGCCAGAGTTTGAGCTGATGCGCGGTGTAGCGGACCGCAAACGGCCACAGAAAATGGGGTGCAGCCGAATGGACCATGGAGGTACAAGCGACCTCCATAACCAAGGCAATGCGGCGCTCAGCAACCCTATTCTGCTGCGGAGAGGCCGGAAGCGTGAACGTCTGGCGAATGCCCTCCCCACGACAAAAGCTCTGCAGGAGGTCGGAGGAAAACTCCCCACCTCTGTCAGAGTGTAGACGCAGGACGGGAAAGTCCGTCCCGAGCCGCTCGCGGAGCTGGAGACGGGCAGCGCGGATCCAAGGGATCAAAACATCAGGGACCTCACCCTTGGTGTGCTAGGGGAAGACCGTGGAGTAACGCGAGTAGTCGTCAACAACCAGCAGGAAGTACCGCTCGCGGTCCTTCCCACTGACGCGGGCTGGGCCCCACACGTCCATGTGCAGGGTCTGCAGGGGAGCAGACGTCGGGGGAAATGAGGAGGAGTGAGGAGCGGCGCGCTGCCACCCCTCGAGGCAAGGAAGACAGGGAGGAGCAGGTGAGGGAGGGAGGGGAGGGAGAACCCGGGGAAGACCAGAGACAAGGACACGGCGGTGCATGCTACGAAGGCGCTGCACCGAGGGGTGACCAAGACGGTGGTGCCAAAGGAGGGTCTGGTGCGACAAAGTGCGACACGAGCAGGGGGCCGCTAGCTGACCTGACGTAGACGCATACGCAGCAACCTGAGGGGACACAGTAGTCAGCGTGTACAGACTCGAGCCAGGTGCACGGGTAAACGTGGCCAGGTGCCAGCCCGTCCGGGAGCACGTACAGTGGGTCACGCGCTGACCTCCAGGGGTGAAATGGTCAACCCACTGGTCCTGGAGGTCAGCACCACTCACCAAGTTTGTAGAGAACGAGGGGAGGTGAAGACTTGACAGGGAGCTAGACGGGACCATTGGACACGGCAAGACCGTGGAGGAGTGCGCAAGGACGGGACCCCCAGAGGGGTCTGCCAGGGAGACTGAGCGGCGTGAGGGTGGTGCTGTCGCGAAAGAAGGAGCGGGAAGCACCTGAGTCAAGTGTGAAGGTATACAAGGCCTCAGTAGGCGTAGTACCAGAGAGAGCAGACCCACCAGTACCTGGAGCAGCAGCCTCACCAGCACCTAGAGCGGGAGACGCACTAGCACCTAGAGCAGCAGCCTTACCAGTACCTAGAGCAGCATGCTCTATACCTAGGTCAAGCGGTACGCACAGATAACAGGCACCGTCAGCACTAGTAGGCAATGCATACATGGCAGTGAGAATTGCATCATATTCAAGAGCAAAGATATCTACCCTCTGCCTAAGCTACTCCAGCCAGGTGGGGAGCTCAGCCTCGTCGCCAAACTCGGTACGCCAGGCGTCGCTCAGACGGGCAAAGCAGCGGGACTGTGTGTGACCAAGCGTCCCGCAAGCCTGACCAGCCCGATCACCTGTGCGAATGACGTACGGGCAGCGAATGGTACTCTGAGACCCTCTAGTCTGAGGTACCACTCGTGAAGCTGGTGGGACGTAAGTGTCTCGCGTGGACGCCGCTGCAGCTGCAGCTGGCCACTGCGAGACGCTCCCAACTGACCAGCTCCAGGGCGACAGCTATGACGGTTACTGCCACAACCCCAACTAGCGTACCACTCACGAAGCTGCTGGGGCGTGAGAGACTCGCGTGGACGTCGCTGGAGCTGCATCTGGCCACCGCCAGAAGCAGCACTAGCAGAAGTAGCAGCAGTAGCAGCAGCATCATCCTAGCAGTAGTAACAAGAGTAGCAGTAGTAGCAGCACGGGCAGGGCAGGTGCGGCAGGCAGGTGCGGCAGGCAGGCAGGCAGATGGCGCGGCAGCGCGCGAACAAGGTAGGTGCTCACCAGTGGCGGGAAGGGCAGGCGCTCGCCTGGCGAGCAGGGCCGGCGCTCGGCGGGCGGCGGCCGAGTAGGCGCACGACGGCGGCGACGGCGGGGCCGCGACAGCTGTGGCAGAACAGAGTCGCGTCGGCAGTAGAGCAGGTCCGCGACAGGTGCTGCAGGGCGGGGCCGTGACCGCTGCAAAGCGGGGCCGCGAGGACTGCTGCAGGGTGGGGCCGCGAGAGCAGTAGGAGGCTCCGCGGCAGCTTCTGCAGGGCGGGGCCGCGACCGTGGCAGGGCGCTCCGCGGCAGCTGCTGCAGGAGCGACGGCGGCAATCAGGCAGGGGCGGCGTCCAGGGGGGGGGGGGGGGGGGGGGGGGGGGGGGGGGGCGTCGCGTCGAACAGGGGCAGCCGAGGTGCGCGGGGCTGCAGCGGGCTAAGCGAGCTGCGGGCGCGGCGCGTGAAGCCGCAGCGGGCCGCGCGAGGACGGCAGCCGCGGCGCGCGGGGCTGCAGCGCGACACGCGGGCAGCGGACGCGACGCGCGGGGCTGCAGCAAGCAGCGCGGGCTGCAGACGCGGCGCGCGAAGCAGCAGCGAGCCGCGCGCGGGCTGCGGACGCGGCGCGCGAAGCAGCAGCGAGCCGCGCGCGGGCTGCCGAGGCGCGACTCGGACAGCTTGGGCGACGCGCGGGGCAAAAACCGGGCCGCGCGCAGGAATCAGGTCTGCGCGCTCTAAGCAGCAGCAGACTGCGCAGTCAGCAGACAGCAGGCAGCAGGCAGCAGGCAGACGGCGCGCGCACCGCAGCACGTCACAGGCACAATCACAGTCACAGTCGTGGGATAGCAGTAGGTGGGCCCTAAAAAAAACGGTCCTACGGACCTACTGCTCTGAAACCATGTTAGAATCTAGAGAAAGGAATGAATCAACTATGAAAGAGTTGGGTACAAGTATGAAATCCTAAAATGGGCTGTACCCCATATTGGCTACCTCACTACAGCCTACACATATTTAACATGCATATACTTTGACAACTACCGCTTCAGAGACATGAGAAAATATAGAATAAACAATATACACTACACTCGGAGAACAAGAAGCTCAACCAGTCTATTTGTACCATTCAGTGAACTTTTTCCAGAAAATAAGAACAAAAACCCCTACACCAAAGAGCATGACCGGTGAGGATGGGGCGTTGTTATGCGTTGCAAGCAGGCTGGCAAAGTGGGGGTTGTGGGAGACGAGAAGGAGAAGCAGACCAAGGGAAAAGAGCAGACCCCCTGCTGCCACCAGGGAGCGACTCAAGAAAGGCTCCTGGTGGAAGATGGTAGAGGGATGATGAAAGAGAGAGAATGGGGGAGGCCCGGAGGGGAATGAGAAGCAGGCCAAGGGAGAAAAGGAGACCCCCTGCTGCCACCAGGGAGCGACTCAAGAAAGGTTTATGGTGGGAAGGACGATGGAAGAGGTGGGGTGAGGGGGGGAGAAAGGGGGAGTTTGCAAGCAGGGTGGCGAAGTGGGGGTTGTGGGAGACATGGAGGAGCAGCAGAGCAAGGGCGAAGAGAAGAACCCCTGCTGCCACCAGGGAGCGACTTAAGAAATGCTCCTGATATGGGACATTGGGAGAGGTGGAGAGAAGGGCGGAGGTTGCAAGCAGGGTGGCAAGGTGGGGTTGTGGGGGATGATGAGGAGCAGCAGACCAAGGGCGAAGAGAAGACCCCCTGCTGCCACCAGGGAGCGACGCAAGAAAGGCTCCTGATGGGAAGGAAGTGGGGGAAGTGGGGGAATATGCGAATGGGGAAGATAGGAGATGGGGAAAGAGGGAGAAGGGGAGAGGGGAAGGCCGGGAGAGGGTGAGAGGGAAACAGGCTGGGAGTGGCTGACAGAGGGACGGGGATGAGAAGAAGGCGAAGGGAGAAGAGGAGAACCCCTGCTGCTACCAGGAAACAAACATAAAAAGGCTCCTGGTGGAAAGGATGGGGGGAGGGGGAAAGTGGGGGAGAGGCGGAAAGTTAGAGAGCGAGTGGGTGAAGATTGGGAGACAGAATGAGAGCAGACTGAGGGAGGAGAAGAGACTCAACAAGGTCTGGTGGGAGGACCGATGGGAGAGGGGAGAGAGGAGGAGAGAGGGGGAGAGGGGGGAGGTGGAAAAAGTATGTGAAGCGGAATGAGGCGAAAGAGGAAACTGCTTCTACGTGGGAACTACTAAAGAAAGGCTTCTGATGGGAGAGAAGATTGGAGAGGGGAAGAGGTTGTGAGCGGAGGGGAGAGAGAAAGGTGGTGGAGGACGGGTAGAGGGGAGAGAGGGGGAGGCGGCCACAACCCGCTGCCCTCACGTGCACACTTGGGGTTTCCCATCGAGCAGAATTTGGCTGCCTGGCTGGCTTGCCCCAGTAGTAGGTCATCAACAACAATCGAGCAAAATTTGGCTCCCATCCGCGGCTGCCTGGCTTGCCCCATGCCGGTATAATGCTGCGCCCCCCTACCCCACCCCCCCCATCCCCCTGCACACCCGCCCATCCCGCAGCAAACTCCCCACCCACCTGCCCTCGCAATCGCCCACCCCGGTTCCCCATCGGGCGTGATTCGTCAGCGGCAGACCGTTTTGCCAGTTCACTACCACCTCCAACCAGCACCCCAAACACCCCGCAGCACCCCCCAGAAACCCTTGGCAACCCGCATTATTCCCCTGCTCTCACAAGTCGTCAGCGACAGTCCGTTTTGCGGATTCACCACCAGAGCTTCACCCCGCCTGTCGGAAACTCCCCTCTCCCATGGTTGCTGTATCTCTCTCCCAGCCTATTCCCTCCTGTTGCCTTGCTCCCTTACTGCACTGCTCAGGTACCCGTGTGCCAACCCAGCCCTTTTTTGCTGTGCCCTCGCTTCTCCTGCTCTTCTCTCCCACCATCCTGCACCTGGTTCCATCCTACGGCTCCCCTTACCCTCCTCTCTGCCCCACTCCTTCCTCCCGTGTGGTCTTTACCCCACTTTCTCCTTCCCTTTGCCTTCATCCTTCCTTTTCTCAGTACCTCCTTGCCCCCTCCCATGGCACATGGCCGCCGTCCTCGCGCGTGTCATGGGACCCTGAGGTACGTCCTTGCCCCTCTCCACCCGAATCCTGGCCACATTCGTCACGTGATCTGCCACCCGCTTCCCCGTCCCGTCCTCCAGCACTATGACTCCCGATGGCCGTACCTCCTTCACCGTCCACCGCTGCTGCGAGAGCCCCACGTCCAGGGCGTGCTTCCGCTGCCGCCGAAGGTATACCTCTTCCTCCTCCCGCGCTCCAGTCCTAGCTCCTTTGCCGTTCGCCTCCTGTCGCTGCTTGTACCTCTCGATATCCCGCAGCTGAGCAACGTGCAGGTTCTCCAGGGCTGCTAGCAGTAGCTGCCTCAGGTACGCCGCCCGTGCATCCGCCACTGCCACCCACTTCTCAGCTGAGCCTGTAGTGACCACATCCAGGAGCAGCCGTGGCGCTCCCACCGGCATAACCGGCTCCTTGCCGAACAACAGGTAGTAAGGCGACACGTCCTTCAAGGCTGCCTGCTTGCTGAAGCAGTAGCCCGCCATGACCCAGCACAGTTTCCTATCCCAGTCCCGCTTGTGCTCCTCCCCGTAGGCCCTCAGCCCTCGTTTGACCGTCTGCACCAGCCGTTCTGTCAAGCCGTCGCTCTGCGGATGGTATCGTGAGGTTGACCGATGCCGTATGCCGCTGGCCTTCAGCAGCAGGTCAAAGGCCCCTTCGAACTCCGTGCCTTGATCTGTCAATACCTCCCCGCATGCCCCCAGCCTGGTTATAACCATCTCCTCAAACGCCTCTGCCACCGCCTCGGCCGTCTTGTGCACTAGCGGCCTCGCTTCGGCCCACTTGCTGACATGCTCTACCATGAGGAGGATGTACCTTCTCCCCTTGGTTGTGACCGGCAGCTCCCCTGCTATGTCCAGTGACCAGCGGTAGCCTAGGCTTACTATGGGCAAGGGCTGCAGCTCCGCCTTCTCCCTCTCCAGCACCGCTCTGTTCCTGCAACATGCCTCACACTTCTCCACCCACTCCTTAATCTGCCGCCGCATACCCGCCCACCACCATCCCGTCTGTACTAACTGCTGTGTGCGCAGCGGCCCGTAGTGCCCCAGCTTCGTGTGGACTTCCTTGATAATGGCCTCTCGCTCGGCCGGCGCCGGGACGTGCTTCCATCCTTCCCCCGTGCGGAGCTGGACTTGTTCTTTGAACCAGCGGTAGTGCTCTCCCCTGGCGCGCACCCTGGCTGGCACTGCTCCTTCTTCTGTGGTTGCCCTCTGTATCCAAGCTAATGCCTCCCGATCCTCCCAAATGTCTGCCGGCCCCCCGTTAGTCTCCCCCCATGCCTGTCCCCTGTCTGCCTCTTTCGCCATGGCCATGAGGCAGGCCGATGGCTGCACCTCCGGCGGATTCCTGGACAGGCCGTCCACGTGCTGCATAGTCTTGCCTGGGCGGTGCCGGATCTCAAAATCATATTCCTGTAGCTTCATTGCCCAACGAGCGTTCCTCCCAGTCAGGTCAGGTGTCTGCATAAGCCAGAGCAGCGGCTGGTGGTCTGTCACCAGCGTGAACTTCCTTCCCTGCAGGTAGACCCTGAAGTGCTTCACCGCCCAGACTACCGCCAGCCCCTCCCCTTCGTACGATGAGTAGTTGGCTTCTGCCGCGTTGCAGCTCCGGCTAGCAAAGGCCACCACCTTCTCCACCTCACCCTTCATCTGCGCCAACACCGCCCCCATGCCCGCACTACTCCAGTCGGTGTATAGGGTGAAGGGCAAGTCTGCTCTGGGCAGCTCCAGCACTGCCCCATTCTTCACGGCTCCCATCAGGTCCTGCACCGCCCTCTCTTGGTCTGGTCCCCATTCCCACGGCTTGTCGTCCCTGAGTAGCTGGTTCAGTGCTGCAGCGCGGCTACTGAAGTTCGGGACGAACTTGCGGTAGTAGTTTAAGAACCCCAGTAGCGCCCGCAAGGTAGTCCGGTCCTTCGGTGTGGCCACGCGGTCCAGTACTTCCACTTTCGCCTTCTGAATCCCAATCTTCCCCCCTTCCACCTCGAACCCCAGGTACTCGACTGTCGTTTGCCCGAACTTGCACTTCCCTGGATGGCAGGTCAGACCTGCCCCCTGAATGGCGCTCAGCGCGGCCTCTACGTCCTGCACGTGCGAGCTGCTGTCTGTGCTGAACACGATGACGTCATCGATGTAACATGCTGCGTTCTTAACCTCCCGCAGCACCTGGTCCATGACCCGCTAGAACTCTGGCGATGCGGTCTTCAGCCCGAAGGGCAGGAAGTTCCATTCGTATTGCCCGTCTGGCCCATGAAACGCTGTCTTCTTCTTGTCTGCTTCGGCTATGGGGATCTGGTTAAACCCCTGACGCAAGTCCAGCGTAGTGAACACGAGCGCTTCGGCTAGCAGATCAAAGATTTCGTCCGGCATTGGCGTCTGATACCTTTTCATGATCATGATTTTGTTGAGGCCCCGGTAATTCCCACACATTCTCTTGGAAAGCACCATGCCTGTCAGGTCTGTTAGTGCTGCTACCACCGTGGCTGCTGCGTATTCTGAATTTGATTTTCGGATGAAGCCTGCCGCCAGCAGCTCCTCACATTTCTCCTTACATATCTGTGTCTCTTCCGCTGTCATGCGTCGCCGCCGCTGATACACTGGGATGTCTGTCGTCAAATCCAACGTGACCACCGCCATGTTGCACCGCCCAACCTCCTTCAGTGAGTATGCGAACGCGGCCCGGTGCCTAGCCAGGACTTCTTTCACCTTCGTGGCGTCCTCCTCCGACACCCCTTCTCCGGTTACCCACTCCGGCTGTCGCTCTGCCTGCTGCGCTGGCTCTTCCTTCACGGTCGGCTGCTCTGCCTCCTCCCTTCTCATGGCCGTTGCCCCTCCTGTCTTTGTGTTGCTACCCGTGTGCTCACTTCCTGCTGTCTCCGTGACCGAAGCTGTCTCTTTCGTTGCTGCCATGAGGGCGAAGCCGATGTAGCCGAACTCCCTCTCTTCTCGCTCTCGGCGCCGCTGCCTCTCAATTGCCTCTTCTAGCCAGCCAAAGTCTTCCCGCTTCTTGTCCACCGATTCCTCCTCACGCTCTGCTGGCAGCCAGATCTCCTCCTGCTCGGCGTACACTGCTGGCCTTTCATCATCCTCCTCCCAGGGGTAAACCCATCTTCGCTCCAGTGGGTGCCCCCGCTCATGTTGCCGCTCGTCGTGTTCCTCTATCTCACCCAGCATTGCCCGCGCCATGGCCTCCTTCGCCGCCGATCTCTCCGTAGGTGGGCGCACTGCCGCTGCCTTATCTCTCTTCCGCTCCCACCGCAGCTGGGAGTGGTACATCCGGATGGTGGCTACGAGCCAATGCATGACGTTGAGATCCATGGTCCTGCCCAGCGCTCTCCTCTCGTCTTGCGTCACCTCCGGGTGTGCGGTTGCGTCCTCCATGAAGCCCATTGCCAGCTCCCTCTCCAGCGCCGTAGGTTCCTGCCACTCCCCGGCCGTGCAGTCATAAACCATGCCTGGGCATGGGTCGTCCCCGTGCATCCTGAAGGCTGCCGCGTTTCGGTAGGAGACGAACGTCGGCCAGGCCTGCCTTGGCTTCCCTACTTCGTTACAGGGGAACTGAGCTGGGTGGTCCAGCCTTGTCACCGGTGCCGCCAGCCTCCCTGGTTCCATGATGTCCTCTACCAGGCGGGGAACTGGCCGCTCCATCAGGGATAGGCGATACTGTAGTGCAGCGTCACTGACCCCATTCGTCCAAAATCTTCGCACTCGGTGTGTCATGCTCCCTATTTGCGCTCCGTCTATCACCACGCCTGGCCCCAGCACCGCCGTGATTTCCTCATGCGCCAGCTGCACCTGCTCCCTTATGTCCCCTTCCATATCCACGTTCTCCACTATGTAAAGCACGTCTCCCTGGATTCTTTTGATCAGCCCCAACACTCGCTGCAACTCCCGGAACAAACTGCTCCTTTCGTCTCTCATGCCTCTCCCTTCTCCTGCTCGTGAGTAGCCCTGGCACTCCCATCCTGCCACCACTATGTCAATTCTCCCCCATTCGCGCAACTGCTGTTCATCGACGCGTCGGATGTCGCTGGCCCCGCATAGCATACTGTGGTCCAGGGTGGCGGTGCAGAATTGATGCGGGTAACGTTCATGCAACTTGTGTGCGTGGCACACTGCCATCTTAGCCGCCTCCATGTCACTCTCCACCAAGATCCACTTCTCCACGCTGATACCTGACTTCAGCACCGCCGCCAGCCCCGTTCCTATACCGCCAAAGAGGTCGAGCACGACCGTCGGTCCCAGTAGCCGCTTGGTGTCGGTGCACAGCGCCTTGAGGTCTGGTTCTCCCTCCGCAGGTTCCGCCTGCGGCGCTGGCAGCCGTGAGATCTGCTGCCAGGTGGGTATGCCCAGCTCCTCCCGTATCTCCGCTTCTGTGCACTGGTAGGCTTCTCGTGGTTCCTTTCTCACGAAGCGCACTGGCAAGGTACCAATTGGCCCGTCGTCTTCCCAGTAGCACACCCGATACTGCACCTTCTCCTCCCACATGCAGATGGTGGCTCCGATCCCGAACAGGTATTCCACCCCGATGAGCAAATCAAAATCCTCTGATTCTGACACTCCGCAGTCCACTCTCAGCGCGCACTCCTCCGTAGTTCCTGGGTTCAGCATTAGGGATATGGATTGCCTGGTCTTGGGCATCCATTTCGCCTCTCCCCCATCGGCCGTCATGAAGAGGTATCCTTCTGCGATCAGCCGTCCCGGCTTGTGCAGTTGCAGCTTTTCCGCCAGGCTCTTGCCAATCAACACATGCGCTGCTCCCGTGTCCACTATTGCTCGTTGCGCCGTGAAGCCTCCGATAGTAACCACTCCGGCGGCTATAGTCAGCACGGTGGCCTGACAGGCCATTCTCTCTCTTCGGTGCCGATATGCTGCTCCCGCTCCCTCCGGGCGATCACTAGCTCGCCGCCTTGGTCCCGCCTCTCGCCGCACGTCTTCAGGGAAGTTCTGCCTGCATGTGGCCCTCCGCAAGCCCAATTCGTCACGCTCACGCTACGGCTGAGCCATGAGAATAAACTCAGGTTCCTCCGCGTCTTCATCTTCGCGTGCTACCATGGCCGGTTCCTTCTGCTCGGCAGCCTCTAAGTCGGCTAACTGCGCCCGCAGTCGCACGATAGTGGCTTGGCGATCCTCCCCTGCTTCTGCGCCCCGGCGCTCCCGTCTTCCCGCGTAGCAATCCGCTTCGCAGTGTCCTTTGCGATTGCACCGCGTACAAGTTGGCGTGCCTGGGCATTCCCTTCGCATGTGCTCTCGGCTTCCACACAGCGAGCAAGCCGCAGGGTTACGGCAATCTCGTCGGAGATGCCCGGTTAGACCGCAGTTGTGACATCTCCGCGGCTCCTCTCTCGCCCTCTCCTCTGCCTCTGGGTAGGCCGATGCCGCTGCCCATGCCGGCCACCTCCTCTCTGGTCCTCTATCCGTCGTCCGCTCCACTTCATATAGCCGACGCCCGGTCTCCACTCGTTTCACGATCTCATAGGCTTCCCTCAAGGTGGCTTCTGATCCCATTTCGAACACTCGCACTTCCACATCCTGCCGCAGTGGCTGGCTCAGTCCGTTTACAAACTTCCCAATCAGCCGTCCCTGGTCCGTGCAATTCATGTCCTCCCCCAGCTCCACGAGTCTCCCGTAGTACGCCAGCAATGATTCCCCTTCCCGACGACGGAATCCTCGGAACTCGACCACCCTTTCCGCGGTTTGTAGCGGGAACTGCTCGCGGAGCATCGATAGGAAGCGCACCGTCGGGTCCCGTTCGCCTGGCGCTCGTTCCGCAGACCACTCCAGCAGCTCTCTCCTGGAAATTCTGTAGTAGGTCTCCGCCTCGCCCGCCAGGGTATTCGCCAAGCCTCTGAAGAATTCTTCCGGATCCAACCGATCCTTCGCCCAGCGCGCCTGGAGGTTTTCCAGCTGCATGATGTAGTTTTAAAGACTCGCCCCCCGTCTCGCGTCTCCCGAGAATCTCTCCGGCATTTCTATCTTGGGCAGTTGCGTGTACTTCCATCGCTGCAACGTCGCCTCGTCTTCGGTTCCTTGCCACGAGGCGCTCCGCTGATACGCACTTGGTCCCCCCGGCTGCGGGCGCCCCAGCATCTGGCTGCGATGGCGTTCCCGCTGCTCATCGGACGCATTCTTCCCGCTGTCGCCTGGTTCTTCCCGAGCGACGCCTTGCGGACCACTCGCTCCTTCACTGAGGCCCTTCTGGCCCTCCGTTCTTCCCGTCTCCCGCTGACCCCCTTCTTCGTTCAGCATCCTTTCGTTCGAACTAGGCCTGACCATCACCGGCTCTAGCTGTCGTCCCGATCTCAGTTGCACGGACTGCGTGTTTGTAAGTTCATCTACCTCCTAACTCATCCTGACTGCGGTTATGGCTCCGTGCTAAGACTGCTTATCTTGAAAACAGAATGCTGCAGTAATTTACGAAAACAAACACGTAGTGGCAGTCCCATGGCCCAGGACCCTGCCTTAAGCTTCCCTACGCAAACCCTAGCAAGGTTGGCCTAACAATGCAACAGTGCTAGGCTACCTAGCTTGCCATCCACAATGCTTTTCCACCCGTCTCCAGCTGGCGTTGCTGCTTCCCAGCTCTGTCCTGGACTCGGTGTCTGCAAGAAGAAACCAAAGCACACGCATGCACACCACACATCACACAGTATGCTCCCCACCCGCACCCTCCTCCACGTCATCTCGCTGTAACCTTGCCAGCGCACCCCGAATCCAGTTCCTCGCCCCACCTTTCTGCAACCTGTCTCACCCCGCCACGCCGCTGCCGTTACTGCCCTTCGCCACAATCGGTTTCGCTTATATACAAATGTACAGGTTTTTCGCCTTCGCTCTCCGCTACACCCTCTGTCAGGATTTCTTAGGCCTTAACCTTAGAATTCTGACACGCCCGCACATGCCCTCGTCTTCGTCCTGTCCGCGCCCACCCCAAAATCTTCGTATTACCCTGCACCCACCTGCACACCCCCTGCACCCACCTGCACACCCCCTGCACACCCCCCTGCACACCAACTGCACTCACAAGCTCACCTGCGGTTCCCCATCGAGCATTATTGTGCTGCCCCGCTTGCTGGCTGCTACAAGTCGCCAGCGACAACCAGTTCCGCGGATAAGTTAGCCACCAGCTCCAACCCGCGCCCCCCCTCGTCTTCATCCTACCCCCCGCGGGCCACAGCACCCTGCAGCACCCACCTGCACCCCACAACACCCCGAAGAAACTCTCCACCCGCCTGCCCTCACAATCGCCCACCTGCGGTTCCCCATGGAGCGTGATTCGACTGCCAGGCTTGCCGCTGCACATCGTCAGTAACTGCCCGTTCCGCGGATTCCCCACCAGCTCCAACTCGCGGGCGCCCTCGTGCTCGTCCTACCTTGCACCGGCCAGCGACCCCCTCCCACTCTCCCTTCCCCCCACACCCCGCACCCCCAACCCCCATCCTATGTTGGAAAAGTCGCCAGAAACCATAAGCGCACTCCGTATAGTCGTTTACGAATATACGGTGTACGCAAGTCGTACGTATATTCGTTGGCGAAAGTTCGGGCTGACCCGAAAAAAAACAAGATTTCAATAGTCGCGCACGAATTGCGAATGTTTGACGCGACTCAAAATGTACGCACGTCCCTGCCAATTTGTACGCACGTCCCAACCACATTGTCACCCACACCTGTCGAAATGTGGGGACGTGGGAAAATTTGAACCGCACTGCACCCTATGCTATCGCGCGACTCCAACACACAAACACGAATGTCGTCAACCAGCGTAGGTGGTTCAACCACATCCTGGACTATAAGGTAAGCTCTCATTCCCGTCATCTGTATTATCTCTCTCGTTCATTCTCTCTCAACACTCCCGCTCACCTGCACTTGATGTCGACTCCTTCTGGTACTCCCGCAAGTGCCACTAGTGAGGCTCCTAGTGTTTCGAATGACGCGACCATGGCGGACGACGAGGATGTTCCTGTGAACACCCATGTTATTTCTAAGCATTTCCTTACCTCTACCGAAGGTACCTCGAATGGTCCTGAGCGTACTCTCCGCATATGCCGGCACTGCAAGCTTAAGTTCGTAGGGGGCGCCTTCCGTTGCGCGCAACACATCACGCGCTGGAAAGGGCTGAAACGGAAGGACGTCCGTCTTTGCAAGGCGCCTATCCCTTCTGCTGACCGCGGCGCCGTCCGCAAATTGTACGAAGGCAAACACGCCCGCAGGGAAGGGAAGAAGAAGGCGGAGGAGATGGCGATCGAGGCGTGTGCGGGTGGAGCGAAGAAGCAGTGCATCGAAGACTTCTACGGGGAAGGGGCGTCGTGTGCGAAGGAATCGGCAGACGACGCCATCTGCCTCATGTGGGCGGCACTTCACCTCCCGGAGCATCTCGCCGATCACCCTCTCTGGCGCAACGCTGTGCGCTGCATCACGGACGCGGGCCATGGCTACGTTCCCCCGAAGCGGCGGTATGTTGGTGGCGCCGGCCTTGCGCGTTGCCGCGAAAAGATCGAGAGGGGGCTCGCTCCCATCACTGCGAGCTGGAAGCGGGATGGCGTGACGATAGGCTCGGACATGATGACGGACAAAAGTGGCCGTCCCCAAGCCAACATCCTGCTCATCAACGATTCCGGTGCAGTGTTCACCGAAAGCATCGACTGTAAGTTGGAGACGAAGACGGGAGGCTACATTGCATCCGTTTTGCGCCCGATCATTGAGAAGGTGGGGCCCGCCAACATAGTTGCGTTATGCATGGATGGGGGCAGCAATTATGCGGCTGCATGTAGGGAACTCATGCTTGAGTATCCTCACATTGAGCATGTGCCGTGCGCTACTCACGTCATGGATCTGCTCATGGAGGACATTGGGAAAATGGATTGGGCGAAGGACATTGTGGCTAAGGCGGGGGTGATTATTACCTTTGTGCGTGCCCACCATTTCACCAAAGGTTACATGCGAAGCCCGCAAGTGAAGGGAGGGAAGGGGAAGCAGGTGCTGAAGCCGGCGGGCACCAAATTTGGCACGCAATTCATTGCGGTGCAGCGGCTTTGCGAGGTGCGGAGTGCATTGACGCAGATGGTGCTGAGCCCGGAGTGGCAGGCTTGGGCGAAGGGGAGGAAGCCGCCGGTCGAGCCCTTCGAAGCCATGATCATGGATGCCGTGTGGTGGAAAGGGGCGGAGTTCTTCGTCGCCCTCCTGAAGATACCCTTTGTCGTCATGCGCAAGACCGACTCGACGGCCAAGGGCATGATGGGCAGGATGGACGATCTGATGCTACAGCTCACGGAAGACATCAATGCGAAGCTGGAGGAGGAGGAGGCGGGATTGGTGCTGTCCAGCAGTGAACGCACGGAGGTGACCAACATCGTCCAAAAGCGCTGGGACCATAGCATGGCGTGTGCCATGCACGTGGTTGGCCGGATCCTCAACCCGGTCAACCAAGAGGAAGGCATCTTCCGCACTGACCTGGAGTGTACTCGCGTCTTCAAAGCGTTTGTCGCTCGTCACTACGCAGGGCGGACCGTCACGCGCAAGGATGGCGAGGAGCTGCGCGCATCCCACGTCATCCAGGACGGCCTGACGGCATTCAACACCCTTTAGGGGAGCTTCGGCCTACCCGACGCCATCTCTGACCGTGAGCTCGTGAAGGCCGGTAAGAAGACGGCCGTCCAGTGGTGGACGTGGCACGGGACGGAGCACCCCGAGCTGACAACGCTCGCTTGCCGCGTTATCTCTCAGCCAGTGTCCGCATCGGCGTGTGAGAGGAACTGGGCAGTGTGGGAATCGATCCACACTGCCAAGCGCAACAGGTTGGGGTCCGAGAAGTGTCGGGACCTCGTGTATGTTGCGCACAATTGGAACATTGTGCGCAACTGGCACAAGGGGGCTGAGTGGGTGACGGTTCTCCCGGGGAACATCCCTGAGGCCTCCCTGCCGGAAGGGTACAACGAGGTTCTGGAGGAGGATGAGGAGGAGGGGGAGGAGGATGAGCTAGAGGATGAGTACAAGTAGAGGAGGAAGGAAGGGACGGGAGGAGTAGAGGGTGGGAGTAGGGGGTGGGGTAGGAGAGATGCATGTTGCTTGCTTAGAGTAGTTGAGAATGGTGGGTTTTTTCAATATATGAAATTCGGTAAAACCACCACTCCCCCCCCCCTCCTTCGGCGGTTTTTTTTCGTCTGCCCGGTAAAAACCTTTTGCTGCCCAGGCAGCGTACTTTCTGCGACTTTCAAAGTCACTCACGAAGCGCATAACGCACTATACGCAAGCGTATATGCGCTTGCGTATAATGCGCTGGGCGCGACTTTTCCAACATAGCCCCCATCCCCCAACCCCCGCACCTGCTGCACCCCGCGCCCCCCTGTTCTCAGAAGCACACCTGCGGATCCGCATCAAGGGCGATTCGGCTGCCCGGCTTGCCCGTGTATGTCGTCAGCGACAATCCGTTCCGCGGGTTCCCCACCAGCTCAAACCCCCGCGCCTCCCAGCACCCCTCAGCACCCCCCAGGAGCCCGCAACTCCCCGCCCGCTTGCCCTCACAATCGCATAACTTTGGTTCCCCATCGAGCGGGATTCGGCTGCCTGGCTTGCCGGTATAAGTCGTCAGCGACCGCCCGTTCCGCGGGTTCCTCACCAGCTCTAACGCGCGCGCCTCCCTCTTCGTCCTACCCAGCAGCACCCCCTCCATCCCACACCACCCCGAGGGAGCCCCTCACCCCGTTGCCCTCTCACACCCACCTGCGGTTCCCCGTCCAGCGTAATTCTGCTGCCGGGCTTGCCCGTGTAGGTCGTCAGCGACAGTCCGTTCCGCGGGTTCGCCACCAGCTCTAACCCGCGCACGCCGGTGGACGAGAGCGCGAAGAGCGCCTTGAGCCCGTGTCGCCTTTTAATCGCCGCCACGTCAAGGCGGTCCGCGTGCCACCCCAGCAGCTGCGCCGCGAACGAGCACGCCGGCCCCTTGCCCTTGCCGCTCTTGCCCCGCCCGCGAATGTACAGATCCACGTGGACCTCTCTCATTGGCACGCTCGTGCTCGTAGCTGCCACGTTGCCGTTTTCGATTGGCTCGTAAGCGCTAGTCGCAGCAGCGGCGGATCTCTTAACGAGCGGAGAGGCGGAAGCGGAGGCGGAAGATCTGCTGCTGCCAAGCAGCGGCTCGGCGGCGGAGGCGTGGAGGTCGCGCAGAGACTCGGCGGAAATATCGCCATCGGTACGAGGCGAGGCGGCGGAAACGCTAGCTCCGTTGCTTCGATCGTCGCCGCTCGAGTGAATGGCGGAATGCATCGCGTCCATCCGTTCAGCCATCCGGCCTTGACTACTCAGATCGCACGTGATGGCTGAAAGAGGGGACGGGCGGGTAAAATTGCGAGGCGGGATGGGAAGCGAAGCGAAGGTCCCCAGGCGCACAGGCGCACAGGAGAGTGCGTCGCGAGGCACGTAGAGCAGTTTAGCATAAACGGTGATAGGGTGTTATGGCAAAAGCGGTTAGTGAGGTTTCTACTAGCGAGGATGGTACGTTTTGTGCGGACCAGGCTGACCGTTGCGGATGCGAGTGGGGAGCGCGTGCCCAGTACAACGACACTTCAATCTTGCGCATCACCATATTGAACCGTGATACAGAGGAGTAGACCGTAAAGAATGTACATAAAACGAACATGCGGTCACTTCATCGCAACTGTCGTGAACATTGTCAAAAACGTGCAAGCCGAGTCAGAGCGAAGGGGGCTCCGAGCAAAAGCTCACGCCGATGCCGGGGATCGAACCCGGATCTTCCGCGTGACAGGCGGAGATACTGACCATTATACTACATCGACATGTCATAGCATGCAATAACAATACATTTTAGTGTAAATAACATAGCAGACGCAAAAGCAACAAACATCCTTTTGTGGCAGCTAAGAAACTTAGCACAATTTTGTGACGTCAGAAGCAACGCTCAGACGAGATGGAGGGAGGTCGTAACGTCGTGGACGCGGCTGGTCGAGGCGAGCCAATGGACGAGCATGTCGTGAATGAAGCGCCGTACGATGCACAGGTCCTGCCGTCGTTGACCCGTCCGCCTGTGCGACCCGCGACCGTGAATCTCTCGATGGATGACTTTCTCTGTCCTATCTGCCGCGATTTGATCTTCAAACCCGTTGTCAACGGTGCGTTTTCGCCTGCAGCAACGATTCCGCGCTTCTCTCCTTTCATTGCGCGCGTCAAGCTTAACCGCCAGTTTAAACGCTAATGTCGGCTTCGGCACCCAGGAGAGATTCGATTCGGACCTCGTCGGGCGTGACCGGAGGCATCGGCTGACCTCTCCCCCTCCCGCTCTGAATCAGGTCTGCGGCTCCCCTCTTCCCCCTCCCCTCCCTCCTCACCCCTCTCAGCGTGCGGCCACGTGTTCTGCTTCTGGTGCGTGCATCGCGCCATGACGCCCTACAGCGAGAGCCGCTGCCCCATGTGCCGCCGCGCCTTCGCGCACTTTCCTGGAGTGTGCTGGCTGCTGCACCGCTTCCTCTCCTCCGCCTTCCCCGCGGAGCTCCGCGCGCGCGCCAGGGACGTCGCGGAGGAGGAGCGCGCCATGGGCACCTTCTCGCCCTCCGCGCCCCCTGCGCCCTACGCGCCATCCGCTCCCCCCCCGCCCCCTTTGCTTGAGGCAGAGGCGGAGGAACGAGGGGAGGGCAGGAGAGACGTGGTGCAGGAGGAAAATGGGGAGGGGCGAGCGGGGGAGGGCAGGAGAGAGAGGTTGAGTGCGACGGAGGGGGTGTTTCTGGCGTACTGGCAGCAGCAGTTCTCATGTGGGGTGTGCCGCCTGCTGCTGCTGCACCCCGTCGTGCTCAACTGCGGTCATGGTGGGTTCAGTGCGGTGACAGAGGGTTCAGTGCGTTGACAGAGGGTTCAGTGCAGTGAAATGTGAGAGGTTACTGAAATACCCATTTTCCTCCGTTCGCCATTTCCCTTCTCATGTCCTCCGTCCCACCCGTCATTCACACACCCTCCACTCACTCACCCTCCACTCACTCACCCTCCACTCACTCACCCTCCACTCACACACCCTCCAGCCACACACCCTCCAGCCACACTCTCGGGGTTTCCCGCCTCACGAGTCACACGAGCGAGTCACCCGAGTCACCCGAGTCACATGAGTCACCCCATCCACCAGCACGCGCTCTCTCGCCCTTTTGAGAAATTTCGATAGTTTCGCACCCTCCCCCTCCCCCCCCTCCCTCCCCCTTCCCTTCCAGCCGTCCGCTCTGTCGGTTCGGTACGTCTTCCCGCTCCGCCACATCCTCCAGCATGTTCGAGAATTCTTGATAATTACTAATCGTTGCCTCCTCCTCCCGCCTGTTCCCCTAATTCTTCGCCCCCCAACCCCTCCCCCCTTGCAGTCGTGTGCGCTGCCTGCACATCTACCCACCTCACCACTTCAGCAAGCACGCCCTCTCTCGCCCACCCCTCCTCCTCCCCCCCGCTCTCCCTCCGCCACTCCTCCCCCTCCTTACCTCATCTCAGCCCGCCCCATACCCTCCCTCCGCACACTCTCCCGCCCCACTCCCTCCTTGTTGCTGCTGCTTCTCCTCCTGCTGCCGCTACTGCTGCTGTTGCTGGTGTTGCTGATGCTGCTGCAAATGGTGGTGATGGTGCTGGTGGTGATACAACTGGTGCTGGTGCCACTGGTGCTGCTGCTGCTGCCGCCGCCACTGCTGCTGCGGGTGTGGCAGGGAGGGACGGCAGGCGGTGTGTGCAGTGTGGAGCGGTGCAGCCAACGAGGCGAGTGGAGGCATGTGTGCCGCTGCATGCCGCCCTCTCCGCCCTCTTCCCTGCCGCCCTGCAGAGGCGCGAGCAGGAGAGGTGCAGATGTGAACGGACGGCTGAGATTACTTGGATGAGAGAGGAAGATCAGGTTGATGGTGAGATGGTGCAAATGAGGGGTGAAGGTGAGAGGGGTGAGGGCGGGAGGGGTGAGATTGTGGGTGCTGGCCGCATGGGAAGCGGTGAGTGTTCAATGCAAGGCAGGGAAGGAGAGGAGGCAGGAAGAGGAACAAGAGAAATGGGAGAGGAGGGAGGAGGTGAAAGGAGAGAGAGCAGGGAGAGGAGAGGGAGGCTGCTAGCAGCTGGTTCCGGTGCAGAAGAGGGTGTGAGAGAGGAGGGCGTGAGGGAATGGGACAGAAGTGAGCGAACTGGTAGGGAAGGGGGGGAGGCAGGGAGTGACGAGAACAGAGGAGGAGAGGAGGGGAGGGAAGGGAGGGGGAGAGGGAGCATCCAGTCAGACACGGAGGGAGGGAGAGGAGAGGAGGAGGAGAGCAGGGTGGGCGATGTGACTGCGGTGAGAACAAGAGAGGAGAGCGGAGAAGAGGCAGCTTTGGCAGAGGGGCAGCAGCAGATGAGCGAGGGAGAGAGCACGGCGGTGCGGGCGGCGTGGGAGCGCGTGCATGCGGTGGTGCGGCGGCTTGACCTGGCGCGCCTTGAGGGGAGCAGCGAGGGGCAGAGCGAGGCGGAGCAGGAGGCACTGATGAGGGAGCTGGAGGAGACGAGGCGAGCCAACTTCATCCACATCAGCGTCGGTTGTGATGGATGCGGGGTGAGTTGACTTGCGTTGACCTGAGTTGACTTGAGCTGGC